AATTATATTTTATCAGCTAAACCTACAAATTTATATATTGGTCAAAGGGGGAAAGATACGAAATTACCTTATGGTAAACATTTCTGTTTTTGTATTCGAAGTACCACATCCATTCTACTTTTAAATATTCACATATGTGAATGACCATGGCTGTTCCAGTGATTATAAAAGTTAACATGTTGCTTTCAGTGACAACTAGATATTTCATGGAATAGTATGAGAGGCATTATCTTCGTAGGAACCAGAATGCCTGGGGTCTGAACACTGGGTATTAGCTGTGTGACCTGAACAAATTACTTAAAATTTCTGTGTCTCAGTTTCTTCTTCGTAAAATGAAGATAAAAATAGTATCTACACACTGGGATGTTGGGAAGATTAATTTAGGAAGTATACATGAACTATTTATTTTTATTTTTATTTTTTAAAGATTGTATTTATTTGACAGAGAGAGAGAAACAGCGAGAGAGGGGACACAAGCAGGGGGAGTGGGAGAGGGAGAAGCAGGCTTCCCGCCGAGCAGGGAGCCCGATGCGGGGCTCGATCCCAGGACCTTGGGATCATGACCTGAGCCGAAGGCAGACGCTTAACGACTGAGCCACCCAGGTGCCCCTATACATGAACTATTTAGAAGGGTATGTGGCACATACCAGATTCTGTCTGCAATTAGCATTATTGTTGTTGCTGTAGGTTATGTTCTAATAATATTTCATATTTTAGGCAGATGGTAGGCCAATGAAAGTGGTCTCTTATACAAGTTACACTGAAATCGTTCTTCACACCACTGAAAGTGGCAGCAAATGGGGAGCATGAGGCCCAGAATACATCCTCCATACTTCAAAAACTTTTACCAATTCCACTAGCTAACAGTACTTTTTTCCACTTATAATAATTTTAACTTACTGCCTCTCTATACTACTCAGTGGACAATCTCATGGACTACAGGGCAAATAGTACCTCCTAGACTGAGTAATAAATATTTACATGACCATCAGAGGCAAGGTAAAGCCACTGACGTGGAAATAATGGACTCTTGCTAAATCAACATTCCCAAATCATTTCATGTTTATATTATCTTAGCAACTGTCTGTGTTACACTGCTTTAGCAAGTACTCTGATGAATACATTAAGGCTACGTGGTATGGCATATCAGAAAAAACTGTCCCCGGGGGCGCCTGGCTGGCTCAGTGGTAAGAACATGCGACTCTTGACCTTGTCCTCATGAGTTCAAGCCCCACGATGGGTGTAGAAATTACATAAATAAATACACAAACAAACAAACTTTAAAAAAGAAAGGTTAAAAAAAAAAAAAAGAAAAAAGAAAAGCTTTGCCCGGAGCTTTATAGTTGGTAAAGTAATCTCAGTACTGGCTGCAAAATGAAGAAAGGCAAATATAGCTGTTTTTCCACAGTGAGGGGGAAAAACAAACATTTGATTGAACACTTCTCCTCTGTCAGATTAAATGCTTTCAATTTTACATTTAATTGCTTAAAATACATTTAGAATAAAAGCTTTGTTATGTCAATGTTTTCAATCAGAAATTATTGATATGGTATAATGTACTTAATTTTATCCTAAACACTGTTAAGTTAAAATATTCTCAATTTATACAAGGATAGGTACCATGCATATCCCATATTTTCCCCCTTAGATAAATGTGTACTTAGAAAGACAAAATTATCTCTCACGAAAAAAATAAAACCAATGTAAAATAAAGGACTAAATTGTGGACTAAATTGTTCTGCATAGACTACATGAGACACGTGTGAAGAGAGTAAAGTCAGTGGGAATTAGAATAGTCAGAGAGAGCTTCCTGGAGAATGAGAGACTATGAGCCAGGTCTGAATAGTGTAGGACTAGGCAAGAGGAAGGGAAACTAAGAGGACAGAAAGGACAGCATGAGTAAAAGGCTGAGAGATGGTGAAATCAATCCAATTAACTCAGAGGATAAAATCTGATGGCAGGGAAATAAAAACAGATGTCCAGACAACAATTAAATCAACGTTCAGAGCAGCATTATTAATGGCCATAAAGTGGGAAACAACCCAAAGGTGCATCAAATGATGAATGAACAAGGGTTTTGGCCCACAATGGAGTACTGTTGGACAATTAAAAAAAAAAATGAAGCACTGATATATGCTATAACACAGATGAACCCTGAAAACATTAAGTAAAAGAAGCTAGTCACAAAGGACCACACATTGTGTGACCCCCTTTATATGAAATATTCAGAATAGGCAACTCTATAGAGGCTGAAAGTAGACTGGTGGTTGCCTGAGGCTGGGGGCTCAAGGGCTAAGGGTTTCTTTTCAGGGTGATGAAAATGTTCTACTTGATGGCAGTGATAGTTGCACAACTCTATGAATATGATCAGAAACACTGAACTATACATGTTAACTGGGTGAATTGTATGGTATGGGCATTATATCTCAATAAAGTTTTTAAAAAATCCAATGGGGGCGCCTGGGTGGCTCAGTCATTAAGTGGCTGCCTTCGGCTCAGGTCATGGTCCCAGGGTCCTGGGATCAAGCCCCACATCAGGCTCCTTGCTCGGCGGGAAGCCTGCTTCTCCCTTGCCCACTCCCCCTGCTTGTGTTCCTTCTCTCGCTGTGTCTCTCTCTGTCAAATAAAGAAAATCTTAAAAAAAAAAAAAACAAAAAACAATGGCAGGACCCATTCTTAATTTCTTAATTCTCTCTTTTGGGTGTATATACTACACATGATCTGACTATTTCTATGCATTTACAATATATCTAAAAGGAAAAGAAAATGAAGGAAATGCCTAAGTTCAACTGGTTTGTAAAATGACTTTTCTGTACAAGTTATCCTAAAATCAGTACAGATTCTATATCCGTTCATAAAAGTGAACATGAGAAATAAGACCATTGTCTGAAACATTCCATTAAGGATTATCTTCTGATTTTGTATGGCTCACCTCATCATGGTAACAGAGATATCATTAAAAAACATTGCACCTGGGTGGCTCAGTTGGTTAAGCATCCAACTCATGATTTCAGCTCAGGATCATGGAATCGAGCAGGCGTGGGGCTCTGTGCTGGGCAGGGAGTCTGCTCGAGATTCTCTCCCTCTCCCTCTGCCTCTCCACCCATTCACGCGTGTGCCTGCGCACGCACTCTCGCTCTCTCTCAAATAATACATAAATCTTTAAAAAAGTTGTTTAGTAGGAAAAAAAAGTCCCTCAATTTCTGTGAGGAATGATGCATAAGTCTCACCTTTCCTAAGGGTAAATACTGTAAGAAAAAAAAATGTATAACACAAATAGCAGAATGAAAGTCAAAGTTTAAGAAATAAGTGCATTGTGAAGATACTAAAATTACACTAAATTATAATGAAAATACAAAAGAAAATGGTTCATAGAAATTAGCATCCTAAAACACTTTGTATTAACCTGGTACAGATTAACTGTTGACATGCTACATTTAATAAATACCTGACTTCTGATTTGACCTAATTTCTTCCTCAAATCCTGTGTCTCATCTTCTAAATTAATACGGCAACGTGATGTAACCTCCAGCGAAGCCTCTGACATAGATTGTTTTTTTAGGGCATCAGCCAGTTCTAGTTGAAGGTGTCTCACAGCTACCTAATAAGACGTTTCTGCTACTGATTTTATAAATTATCTTACTATTAAGTTATATTAATAATATATAACTCTAACATATGTACTTCGAAAAATATCACCACATACAGGTGTTATCCTCCTGCCTAGTCAGTGTTATGTTACTTAGATAATTAATTCAGCCCCACTCTCCATTCCTTGTTGATGAATCTGCAAAGCTTCCCACCCTACTGAAGTCTCAAAAAGAAATGGGTATACAGGTGGGCCTAGCAGTGGTAAATTCTACATGATGACATGGTTTCCCTCTTTTTTATTAGAGGCTTAAATTAATGTCAAAGTTCCTCACATATTCAATCCTCTGCTCAAATCCTTCCAATAGATTACTATCTCAGAACAAAAGTGAAGTCATGCTAATGGGCTTCAAGGCCCTAGATAACCTGGCTTTCACCTCCCTCCCTGGCCTCCATTCCTGCTACAGTACAAGAATCCTGCCACCCCTCATTAGTCTGAAAATGGAGATCCAATGCCAAATTAAAATATTACAGATACAATTCTCTTTGTATTGGACAAACTTATGCCCAAATGATAGTCATTGAGCTTTGAAATAAGCAAATTATTTGTAAAATTGCCTTAAAAAATTATAAATAGCAGTGGGAAGATTAAATCAAACAGTTTTGCTAAAGCTCACCATAGTTGTCCCAAATTATGATTTAATGAAAAGTGCCTGCAAAGAGTTAAAAGGTCATAAGACACACGATTTCAGACTAAAAATTCAAATTTATATAAATAAAAATAAAATTATTTCAACCTAAAATGTATAAAAAGCTACCAAAGGAAAAGTACTGAGATACAGCGTCTACACTTCAGTTCATGTGGGAAATCTGGAGTAAACCGTCAAGTGAATCCACTTAATTGAATCTCAATTTCAACATGCTCATTGCAGGTATGAACATTTCCATTTATCTGTTCATCATGGTATTAAAATGTGGTGACAAAGATTAAAATTATTATTTTAGCAGTATAAGACTAAATTATTAGTATCAGCCTACTATTAACAATTTATAACTTAACCTCTTAAACTTTCATAGATGACACAACAATTTTATTCAAATTAAAGCCCCTCTCAAGTCTAATTTTTATTTGCTGGATATAAGTTATGCTGAATTATAGTCTATATATTTTTTATGTTCAACTAGATTCAAAATTCAGCCATAATCATTCAGGTCACGATCTCGGGGTCATGAGGCGGAGTTCTCTGATGTGGAGCCCTCTTGGGATTCTCTCTCCCTCTCCCTCTGCCCCACTCCCATTCTTGTGCAGGTGCACTCTTTCTCTCTAAAAAAAAAATAATAATAATAATCAAATATTACTTTGAATTTTCTCTTAGAAAGCTTCAAAAATATTTATCTTTCTGGATACTAACTTCTCTTTCTACTTTCTCCTTTTCATACTGATACATTCTTTCTTTTAAAAGATTGCATTCATTGATTAACTCTCTATTGCTTGCTTCCAGCAAAAGACCTTGTTTTTCACTTTCAGCTTGAAGTTTTTTTATGATACCCTGAAACTGGTCTTGGATATTAATTACTACATGTTCTTTACTGGCAGCTTTGTTGTGAGCATCATCTAGATGCTGTTGAAGCAACATATTTTCACTTTGTAGTTGAGATAATCTCTCCACTAAGGATTCCTGCTTTCCAATGTATTTATTCACTTGATCTTGTTCATTTTGATACATGTGTTCCATTTCCTTTTTCTGACACTGTGTTTGACTTAGGTCTCTCTGTACACATTCTAGAACCAAAGTCTTTTCCCTGAGAGCATCTCTTGTGTGATGGAGCTCAATTTCTAAAGTATTGAATTCACTTTCAGCTTTAGAAAGGTTTTGAGAAAGAAGCTCATTATTTTCTTTTAGGTTAGACACATCAAAATTCAGTTTGTCCTGCAGACAAAACCATTCATCTTTTGCTCTCCAGAAAGCAAGTTCTAGGTCTCTTTTTGACGCCTGACTTTGATCATAATCCTCTAGAGCAGTAGCTAGTCTAGCTCGATATGATTCAACTTGTGTGTCCAGTCTTTCTTTGTTTTGCTTTTCATTCTCCAGTTTAGACTTTAGCATTGTATTCTCAGTGGTCAGAGCATCAATCTGTCCACTATATTCTAATATTGTTTTTGTTAATGTTTCCTCATTCAGTTTTATGGCCTTTAGAAGACTGACATTTTCTTTTATAATTTCAATGTCTTCACAATATTTCTTTTCCATTTCCTGGTTCTTACTGTTTATTGTGTCTATTTCCAGTCTTAGCATGGCAATTTCATCCTGCCACATGTGGGTTTTAGGCAACAGATCTTTTTCTTCTTTATGACTATTAGAAATCTAAGTAAAACAAAGGAGACTTTTAGCTGGAACTCAATAAAATGACATTATCCTGATTTTCTCTGAAATTAAAGAAAAACCTGTGTTTATACAATGAACAGGTTGCAGTAAGTGGATATCCCAACTGGAAAAAAATAAAGTTGGGTCCAAACCTCAAACTTGATACAAGCATAAATTCCCAAAGTTTCAAAAATTTAATTGAAGACAGTGAATGCATGAAAGGAGAAAAGAAAGCAAGACACAATTTTTAAGAATCTCAGACCTGCAAAGGTCTTTCTCTGATTTACAACAAACCCAGAAAGCCTGACATAAAAGATTAATAAATCTGATTACACTAAAAATTGAATTTACACTCTGATATCTGACACAGCTACCCCACGATAAAATCCAGAGCTCTGCCTTTATTTTGACAGATTCAATTTCCTAAAATTCTTTTTTCCTGGCAATATTCCATACAAATTCTACTTTTCTAACATTTCTATAGTCACATATAAGAATTACATCTACTGATAACTGACAAATCCAGTCACTATACTATAAACACTTCTACCGACATCAGTGAACTTTTTAGTTATCACAATTCTAGAATGGAGAGGTTAAAAACATTAAGTGAGCTGCAGGACTTTCCCCAGGTCTTCTCACTCCACTACTAGTGCTCTTACACCAAACCACAGCTCTTCTCTAGTGTAAATCATACATACAATAGAAGCCTTATATTTCAAAATACTGATGGTACATAAGGTAAAATTTGTACAGCTCTTAGAAAAATCATGAGATTATTTGCTGCTGCAATAAGTTTAACTTCCTCTTCATGATGTTTAAAATGTTTAAAATAGGGGAAAATACACGGAGCTATTTTATTAGGAATAAAACACTCATCAATAAGTTGTCATTAGCATATAATTGTTTCAAAAGCGCCTTGTAATGAAATAGGATACTACTTGGAGCAAATTGCTACTTTTCTCAAAAGTAGAGACTAAATCCAAAAGAAAGTCTCTCAACAGGCTACACTCTTCTCCTGTTCATCAGTGGCAGTGTTAAGCTAGCTTCTCTTTCAATACAGAGGTGATGAAGCAACTGCCAAAAATTGAAACATATGTTGTTAGTAGCAATAGTTTTGAGCATATGGAAAGTTCAACAATTCTTATGGAAAATAATAAAAGCCTCTCCTTTGGATGAGGACATGATGAATGTCACTATTTGACTCTTGCAGACAAACGCATTTAAATTAAGGATATTACTTTATCCACTGGACCAAAAATGTCACCACCCCCTATGGCCCCCAAATACACACACACACACACACACACACACACACACACATATATATATATGTTTTAAAAATCCTCTATGCTTTCCATGATCTACAGTGTTGGTTTTTAATTTATATGTATGCATACATGGAGAAAAAATAATAATTTCAGAAAATAAAATGTATATACATACAAATACATACACACATGTACTTAAAAATAACTAAAGAAAATACCCCAGAATTCATTCTGTTATTACCCACTTCAATCTCCTTTTGTTTGCAAAGGTGATTCTTTAGAATTCCATCTTGTAATACTCTGGCATTCTGTTCTCGAGAAAGTTGTAACTTAGCGTCATTTCGCTCCTCTACAACCTAGAGACATATTTTCATTAGGATTTTGGATCACACCATTACAAAGACAAAAGTCAGGGGCGCCTGGGTGGCTCAGTCGGTTAAGCGGCTGCCTTCAGCTCAGGTCATGATCGCAGGGCCCTGGGATCGAGCCCCACGTCGGGCTTCCTGCTCGGTGGAGAGTCTGCTTCTCCCTCTCCCTCTGCCTGCCTCTCTGCCTACTTGTGCTCTCTCTCTATCTCTCTGCCAAATAAATAAATAAAATCTTTTTAAAAAAATTCAAAAGTTTAAGAGAACTTAAAAATAATGTTCAAAAGAAGTAGCCTTTTTAAATACAAGGATTTTTATCCTGCATGAATAACTCAAATTTTAATTTAAATGACAGCTAAATTTGTCATAAGGTAAAAATACAAGAAGATAAAGTATGTGAAAATAAAATTTCTTTACAAAACATTTAACCAGTTCCATCATAGTCTCAAGGCGATTTAGCCTGTATTTTAACATAAAAAATCCAAAACTGGGGTGCCTGGGTGGTTCAGTTGCTTAAGTGTCCTACCCTTGGTTTTGGCCCAGGTCATGGTCTCAGGGTTGTAAGATCCAACCCTGAGTCGGGCTCTTCATTCAGCGCAGAGTCTGCTTGAGATTCTTTTCCCTCCCTCTCCCTCCCCATTTGCTCCTTCCCTTGCTCATGCTCTCTCTCTAAAAATAAATAAAATCTTAAAAAAAAAAGCCAACCTTCACATTTATCTCAATTTACCTTCTATCCCTTCATTCAGAAAATAGAGAGAGAGCATATATGAGAAGCCAAGAATTCCAATAAGTTAATAATTTTAACTAAAAATATTATAGTTCCTATTAGAATAAAATTAAATTTTTTATCTATTTTATACCTAAATAATATACATTAAATCAAGGGTATATTATAAATAATATTGATGGAAATATGCAATTTTTATCAAAGATTTACCTGATCCAAATTATTCCTTACAGTCCTCAATTCCACACCTACTGTTGCAAAAGTATGTTCAAGTTGTTGTTTCATTTCAACTTCTTTATTATACTGCTCTTCTTTTTCTCTGAATTGCGCCCTCATTTTTTCATATAATTTATCAGCATTTCTTCTTTTTTTTTCTTCTTGTTTGAAGGTAAATCTGCAAATAAATGTGCTTATTTAAAAATGTTTTGTAAGTAATAGAAAGTTCATTTTATGATCTGGTTCCACATATGTTGATTTATTATCCAAATGAAATTTCTATGTTCTCAATTTTTTTCCTTTCTCAGGCTCATGTTTACTTTCTCACTTCAATCTCTTCCAAAAGATATATATAGTTGAAAAGAAGTAATGAGAAAGCGTTATGCAGTTTAGTAATAAGTTTTAGTACTAACTCTGGTAGATATTGTAGAGAAAGGAATTTTGAAATTTTTCAAGAAAGTTAGAATTAAAAATTATCATTTTCCCCATATAGTCATAATTACTCCTCCATTAGAACAGATAATTTAGTTACTAAATAAAAAGAGAAGTTGCTCCTTATAAGAAAGTTTATAAATTCACTAGAAGTAAATTTCTACTTCACAAAACATCACAGGTACCTCCAAAAATAATTTGCAGTATAAGACAGCATCTGCAGATGTCATTTACACAACATACACCTGCAGATTATGGTGATCCAGGACTAGGCTGGGGAGTCTAATATCTATACATTTTATATAGATAGCCCTATACATTTTACGTTTCTTCTTCTGCAATATTGTCAATTTACCTTGTTGATTATTATTCATTTTACTTTTTTAAAAGATTTTATTTATTTATTTGACAGAGAGAGAGAGCACAAGCAGAGGGAGCAGCAGGCAGAGGGAGAGGGAGAAGTAGGCTCCCCACCGAGCAGAGATCAAGGGCTCAATCCCAGGACCCTGGGATCATGACCTGAGCCGAAGGCAGACCCTTAACCAACTGAGCCACCCAGGCACCCCGATTATCCATTTTATAAATCATTTGAAAACCCCTTTTAGAACACAGGATCCATATTAATTAAGGAAACAATAAAGAGTCATATGTGCTTACCACACAGACTTTTGGATTTATTTATAAGAGAGATATTGAGAAAACTTAGCAGTAATCATTTTCCATTTTACTTTTTAATCACTGCGTATGTTTAAAACTGAACAAATTTTTAAAATTTTTCCTGTCTTGAGAAAAATGGCCATTTCATACTCTGTTGATGGGCATATAAATTAATATAAACTTCCCAGAGAACAATTTAAAAATAGGATCAAAGACCTCCTTTAAAAATTTTTATACTTTAAGCAAACAATACGGTATTGAAGAATTTATTCCAAGTAACCAGAATTGTAGAAACAGATTTATATAAAACATTCCTTACAGCATTAATTAAAGTATAGAAAAATGGAAAATAACCAAAATGCAATTTGTTAAATAATGAGGATTCCATATGGTGTACTTCTATATGGTCATTAAAATTATGATTTGGAATATACATTAAATTATCAGTAGAAGTATTCACTGTCAAGAACTTGCTAAATTATTTTGAAGAATCTCATACTTCACACTACTAAAGACGTTTTCTTCCCTATAAAAATTCCAGAAGGGGGCGCCTGGGTGGCTCAGTTGGTTAAGCGACTGCCTTCGGCTCAGATCGTGATCCTGGAGTCCCAGGATCGAGTCCCGCATCGGGCTCCCTGCTCGGCAGCGAGTCTGCTTCTCCCTCTGACCCTCCTCCCTCTCATGCTCTCTATCTCATTCTCTCTCTCAAATAAATAAATAAAAATCTTTAAAAATTAAAAAAATTAAAAAATTAAAAAAATAAAAATAAAAATAAAAATTCCAGAAGGTAAGTTAGCAATTATCAAACTTCTCCTACACATCTGTAGTACAAAAGTAAAGAGTTCAAGGGGCACCTGGCTGGCTCAGTTGGTAGAGCATGCAACTCTTGACCTCACAGCTGTGAGTTCAAGCCCCTCATTGGGTGTGGAGCCTATTAAAAAAAAAAAAGGTAAATAGTTCAACTATTTCCTTAAAACCAAGATGTCATACCTCAAATCGCTAAGTTCTTGTTCCCATTTCACTTTTTGATGCTCCAACTGCAATTTCAACTCTTTTGTTTCTGATAGCTCCTTTTGTAGTCCATTAATCTTATTTTCCATTTCTTTATTTTTTCTTTTAAGTTGTTTACACTGATTTTTTTTAAGTTCTACTAATTTTTTATACAAAAGAATCGCATCCTGGATTTTTAGTAAAGTAGTAGAATCTACATCAGAGAAAAAACAAATAAGATATATAGGGCACCTAGGTGGCTCAGTTGGTTAAGCATCCAACTCTTGGTTTCAGCACAGGTCATAATCTCAGAGTCGTGGGATCGAGCCTCACGTCAGGCTCCACACACAGCACGGAGTCTGCTTGAGGTTCTTCCCCCGACTTCCCCTCTGTTCTTCTCTCCCACCCCCCACTCATGCTCTCTTTCTCTCAAATAATTTATCTTTAAAAAAAAAGAAATAAAATATGTGAGTACTTTTTGCATATAAAGGACTGTGTGCTTTCACATTCACTCACTCATACTTTAAACAATTATATACTGAATGACTTCAATATAAAAGATATTTTAGGGGTGCCTGGGTGGCTCAGTCGGTTAAGTGTCTGCCATCAGCTCAGGTCATGATCTCAGGGTCCTGGGATCAAGCCCCGTGTCAGACTCCCTGCTTACTGGGGAGTCTGCTTCTCCCTCTGCCCCGCCCCGTCCCCCGCTCGTACACTCTCACTCTCCTTCTCTCAAATAAATGAATAAAATCTTTAAAAAAGAAAAGAAAAAATGACCAAAACCTTTCTAAATAATGAAAACTATCATCCCACAGATCCAGAAGAATCTGGCTAGGAGAGAAGAAATGGAAGTAAGCCATTATAGTTTTCTTAAATTACTATGATGGGGCATAACATTACTCAAAGGTGGACTGTGATGCTTAAGTCATATACTTTAAACCCTAATCACTAAAATAGCACAACTAAAGAGTTATAGCTAGAGTAAGCAAAATACATACATATACATACTCACATAAATAAAACTAAATCATAAAAATTACTTGATTAATTTAAAAGACAGCAGAAAAGGAAGAGAATAGGAGCAAAAAGCAGAAAGGACAAATGGAAGTCACACAACACGATGACAGATTCAAATCAACGACCTCAATAATCACATTAAATGAAAATGGTCTAAAAGCCTCAATTAAAAGGCAGACTGTCAAAATGGATGAAAAAGGAAGACCCAACTGTATGCAACCTATTAAAAAAATATGCTTTAAGTGTAGAGACACACATTTTTTAAAAGGCCAGAAATATGACAGACCACACTAACAACTTGACAAAAGAAGGCTGAGCCTGAGTGGCTATATTAATACCAGACAAAATAGATTTCAAAGCAAAAAACACTAGCAGCAATAAATAAGGTCATTTTATAATGATAGAAGGGTCAATTAAAAGAAGCATAACAAACCTAAATGTTTATGCATCTATTAATAGGTTCAAAAATACAGAAAGCAAAAATTGATAGAATTAGAGAATTAGAGAACTAGAGAAACAGGCAAATTCACAGTTATAGTCTGAGATTTCAATAGGCAGAAAATCAGCAAGGGTATAGTAGACTGGAACACCACCATTCTTCTCAAGTATCCATGGAACACTTACCAAAAGAGACTATATTTTGGGTCATAAAATAAATTGTAATAAAAGGAGTCAGTCAAAAGGACTGAAGTCATAAAAGTGTGCTCTGCGATCACAAACTAATTAACACACATCTGAATAACCCCTAGGTCAGGGCACCTGGGTGGCTCAGTTGATGAAGCGTCTGCCTTCAGCTCAGGTCATGATCTCAGGGTCCTGGGATCAGCCCCACATTTGGCTCCCTGCTCAGAGGAGAGGCTGCTTCTCCTCGAGCTCAGGCTCTCTCTCTCTCTCTCTCAAATAAATAAAATCTTTAAATAACCCCTGGGTCAATGAAGTACTGAAAAAAAGAAATTAGAATGTATTCCGAACTGAATACACATAACATATTAGAATTTCTGAAACCCTGCTATACTAGCACTCATATGAGCATTTACAACACTGAATGTATATATTAAAAAAGAAGAAAAGTCTCAAATTGATGACCTTTGGCTCCACCTTAAGAAATTAGTAAAACAGTGAAGTTTGATAACCTTTGGTTATGTAGAAAATCTGACAGAATTTTTTAAAAAGCTACTAGAACTAATAAATGAACTCATCAACTTTGGAGGACAAAGAATCATTATACAAAAATCAACTGTATTTCTACATATTAGCAACAAAAAAATTAAAACTTAAGAATTAAAAATTAATTTTAATTAATTAAAAAATTGAAACTGCATTGAAAAATAAAAAATAATGACAGGTAATATCATAAAAGATAAAAATAACTATACACTAAAAACTACAAAATATTACCAAGAAAATTAAAGACTTATAAAAATGGAGAGAGATAATCTGTTCGGGGTTGAAAAATTCAATATTATTAAAATTAATCTGTAGATTCAACCTAATCCAAACCTGATCTCCAGAAGACCACCAGAGTTGTTTTTTTTTTTTTTTTTTTTTAGAAAATGAGAAGCTGACTCTAAAATTCATGTGGAAAACATAAATAAATAAAATAAATACAATTCATGTTCTGGAAACACAAAGGATCTAGAATAGAATTGCAAAAGAACCCTGAAAAAGAACAAAACTGGAGGACTAACACTAACTACCTGATTTCAAAAATTATCATAAACTGGTAGTAATTAAAACAGCATGATATTGACATCAAGAAGGCCAAAGAGATCAATGGGACAGAATAGAGTCCATAAATAAAACCACACAGAGGGGCGCCTGGATGGCTCAGTTGGTTAAGCGACTGCCTTCGGCTCAGGTCATGATCCTGGAGTCCCTGGATCAAGTCCCGCATCCGGCTCCCTGCTCGGCAGGGAGTCTGCATCTCCCTCTGACCCTCCCCCCTCTCATGTGCTCTCTCTCTCAAATAAATAAATAAAATCTTTAAAAAAAAAAAAAAAACCACACACATATGGTCAACTGATCCTGACAAAGACACAATGGCATGAAGTGGAGAAAATATAGCCTTTTCAACAAATGGTGCTGGAACAACTGGATATCCATACGCAAAAAGCATGAACGTGGATCCATACCTTTCATCATAAGCAAAAAAAAGAATACAAAATGGGGGTGCCTTGGTGTCTCGGTTGAGTGTCTGCCTTGGCTCAGGTCATGATCCCAGGGTCCTGGGATCGAGCCCCATGTCCAGCTCTCTGCTCAGCGGGGAGCCTGCTTCTCCCTCTCCCTCAGCCTGCCATTCCCCCTGCTCATGCTCTCTCTCTCGCTGTCAAATAAATAAATAAAATCATTAAAAAAAAGAATACAAAATGGATGACATGGATCACATGGATCACAGATCTAAAGGTAAGACCTAAAACTATAAAACTTCGTTTTTAAACTACGAAACTTCTAAAAGAAAGCATGAGAGAAAACCTCTGACTTTGTGCTAGGCAAAGATTTCTTAGATAGGAACACCGAAAGCAAAAATCCATAGAAGAACAAATGGATAAACTGGATTTCATCAAAAAGAAAAACTGCTCTTCAAAAGACACTGTTGAGACAATGAAAAGTCACAGATTGGGAGAAAATCTTTACAAAAAAATATAGGTGAGGGGCGCCTGGGTGGCTCAGTTGTTTAGTGTCTGCCTTTGGCTCAGGTTATTATCCTGGGGTCCTGGGATCGAACCCCACATTGAGTTTCCTGCTCAGTGGAGAGTCTGCTTCTCCCTCACCCACTACCCCTGCTTGTGTTCCCTCTCTAGCTGTCTCTCTCCCCGTCAAATTAATAAATAAAATCTTAAAAAATATATATAGGTGATAAAGGAACTATATCTAGAATATACAAAGAATTCTCAAAACTCAACAAATATGAAAACAACCTAATTTTTAAAATGACAAAGGATTTGGATAGTTCAAAGCAGATATACAGATGGCAAATAAGCACATGAAAATATGCTCAACATTAACAGTTATTAGGGAAATGTATATTAAAACCATAATTATATATATATTACATACCCATCAGAATGGCTAAGATTTAAAAAACTGACAATACTAAGTGTTCATGAATATACAGGGTGAAATTAGAACTTTCATACACTGCTGGTGGGAATGGAAAATGGTACAACTACTTTAGAAAACAATTTGGCAGTTTCGTAACAAGGGAATATAGAGACATGAGACTTACGGGTGATAGATATGTTGACTGCCTGAATTACGGTTATGGTCTCATATGCATATACATATGTCAAAACTATCAAATTATACACTTCATATATGTGCAGTTTACCTAACTAAAGCTGTTGGGGGAAAAAAAAGCTCTATTATAGGAAAAAACAACTAAAACAGTGGCTGAGACACAGATGGAAAGAAGGATATGAAACATGGGCGCCTGGGTGGCTCAGTCGTTAAGCATCTGCCTTCAGCTCAGGTCATGATCCCAGAGTCCTGGGATCGAGCCCCGCATCGGGCTTCCTGTTCGGCGGGGAGCCTGCTTCTCCCTCTCTCACTCTCCCTGCTTGTGTTCCCTCTCTTGCTGTGTCTCTCTCTGTCAAATAAATAAAATCTTTAAAATAAAAAAAAGAAGAAGAAGAAGGATATGAAACAACACAAGATGAAGCTAGAGTACTGTGGTCTTTCACCTTAGAGCAATGAGAAGTAATAGCGAAGCTTTAAGCAAGGGAGTAACGTGATGAAACATGAATTTTTAAAGATTATGATAACTGGTTGCAGTGTAGACCAAGATTCTGGGAGGTGGAATGACAGGGAAAACAGTCCTGAGGTTATTTCAGTATTCTAGGAGAAAAATAATGGTAACCTGACCTTGGGTGACGGCACAGAAGAGAAGCGGAGTTAACAACACATCAGGTGTGTCATTCCCATGACAAAACATAGAGTGGAAATTATAGCCTTTGGCTGAGAGTATTCAACAGTTCTCTATTCTCATATAAAACATATTTCTGAGATGAGTAGCTCATGAGTGTTGTGTGGTACAGCACTATACAAGATGGGCACATATTGCTACAGTAATATACATACAAAGGCTTTCTACTTATACAATGGTCCTACCTTTACGATCCTGGCCAACTGGTACAATTAGCGACTTGCAACTCATATACTTAGAGCAAGGCAACTTGGAATCCTCTGAAGCTGTTCCAGATGACTCCGTTAAGTCAAGGTCATCCATAAAATTAATTTGCTTTTTGACCTACAAATAAAAAATACTATTTCAAAATGTCCCCCAAATATTCATAAAATATACTAAGTGTAGAGAGATGATAAATACCCATCTTTTTATAAGAGCAAAAACATAGGTACTTTTTTTTTTTTTAAACATAGGTACTTTTTAAAAGAACTGATTTTTATCACAATGACCTTTATCAATAATTACTACTTCTGAAAAACTTTTTCACAATAAATGTCTATACAACAAAGGAAGATTTTCTAGGTTTTCACTATGTACTTCCTAAAGTAATTTTTTACCATGGAATAATATTTTTAATAAATATTATTTATCAAAGTAATATAATAAAGTGAAAATTAAAAAATAAGTGAAATAGAATTATGCATATTTTTTTACCTCTTTCTTTCCATGAGATGTTTTCTTTGCACGTCTAAAAAAAAACAATTCTTTTCAGGCAAGTATTAAATACTTAAAATACAAAGAATATCTAAATCATATCTAAAAAATATTAATAATATTAACAAAGCATTAAATTTAGATCAAATGGACATAAAGCAAAGGAAAAGCATAATGTTACTTGCATTATTTGATACGAAGAAATATACCACATTTTTTGTTGTCATTTTCAATAAAAACAAGCTTTTATTGGATCTAAACACTTGGGAAAGTGCAAGTTAAGTTCTTATATGAAAGAAACCCTATTTTAATAATCATGATACTAGTGTTTTGAGGATTTACTGTACAACTACTATGCATTACTATGAACACCTTACACATCTTAAAAGTATTTTAAGCCTCACAACAATCTTATAAACATAGGTAATTATATTAGGCATTTTACACAGGAAGAAAATGAGGCACAGAAATAATTAACTTCCCCAAGCCCATACAGCTGGTCAGGAGTAGACCCAGAATTCAAATCCAGGATATGTGCCTTCAAAACGTGTGTTTTACAATATGTGGTGAAAGTAACATTTAAGTGTTTCCAAGTGATATGACAGCAAATGAATCTACTATTATTCCATTTCTAGCTATAATTATAAATAATAATTTATGGATCTTACACATATTTTTTTAAAATAAAAAGACTTCATACCTAGGCAATATTGAAAATCTACTTTCCATAAACTAAAGATCTGCTTCTTCTGAAGAAGTTCATCAATGGCATTCATCTATTTATTCAACTGTTTATTCACAAATATATACTTACTGAGCACACAATATGTGTCAATGACACTGTTGGTACAGGAACCATGGCTTTTGTCATTTAGAACTTTATAATCTAAAAGTAATAATCTATGATAGAATAATAGTTTATTTTTCAATTATAAATAAAGTCTTTCCCCTTTCCCCAGAATCGAAACAAATATTAACTTAATGCAACCAGATACTTCAAAGTCCCTAACAAAACCATAGCTATTCATGATTCTGTCAAAGGCACTGAATATCTAAAATCATCAAGGAATGATTAGTTCTACTCAGAATGGCCTAAGAGTTTGTATATTTACTATCATTTATATACTTCTAAGTCTATGAATGATACTCTCTGCACATTCAATTATATGAGAATACTCCACTGGGGAACCAATTCTGAATCAACAACTTCTTGCCACAGGGACCTGGGTGGCTCAGTCGTTAAGCATCTGCCTTCGGCTCAGGTCATGGTCCCAGGGTGCTGGGATCAAGCCCCACATCAGGCTCCCTGTTCAGCGGGAGTCTGCTTTTCCCTCTCCCACTCCCCCTGCTTGTGTTTCCTCTCTCGCTATGTCTCTGTCTGTCAAATGAATAAAATCCAAACCCCCCCCAAACCAAAAAAACAACCTCTTGCCACAAAACTACATGAATAGGAATACTAGGGACAATTACTGTAATCTTTAAAAGATAATGTAATACAGGGGAGCCTAGGTGTCTCAGTCATTAAGCATCTGCCTTCGGCTCAGGTCATGGTCCCGGGGTCCTGGGATCGAGTCCCACATCAGGCTCCCTGCTCGGCGGGGAGCCTGCTTGTCCCTCTCCCTCAGCCTGCCACTCCCCTTGCTTGTGCATTCTCTCTCTCTGTGTCAAGCAAATAAAAAAATCTTAAAATAGGGGCGCCTGGGTGGCTTACTCGTTAGGCGTCTGCCTTCGGCTCAGGTCATGATCCCGGGATCCTGGAATCAAGTTCCACATCGGGCTCCCTGCTGGCTGGGAGGGAGCCTACTTCTCCCTCTCCCTCTGCCTCTGCCTGCCGCTCCCCCTGCTTGTACTCTCTCTCTGTCAAATAAAAAATAAAATATCTTAAAAAAAAAAGATAATGTAATACAATCAATAAGCTTTCTAATATTTGGAAATGCAAACAAAATTAAATAACCATGTCTATCTCTATCGGATCATTTCCAGCAGCATACAAATGTACTCTAAAAGATCCCATCTTAAAATTAAAAAAGAAAGAAAATTCCCTTGAATTCCACATTCTTTTTCAGTTATCATCCATTTCTCTATTACCTTTCCGCATAAAAATTCTCTAAGGAGTTGTTTATACTTTTTCATTACAGTCCAGCTTCCATGGTGACTATTGAAACTGCTCCTTGTCAAAGTCACTTGTCCTCATCTTAACTTTTCAAGCAGTGTATCTGATATACTTGAGTATTTCTTGCCTTAGCCTGTACATACACGACAGCGTTTTATTTCCATAAAAAGTAATCACTGCTAAACTTCCTTCAGAGGGAAATAAAGAATTTATAGATTTTACCTTACTTCATCCTGATCCATTTCAATTGAAGTGCTGTCATCATTCACTTGTGGTGGACGAGAAGGTAGGGAATCAGCCTTCTCAAGCCCTGGTGTAATCACAGATACTTTTGATGTCCATTTTTCATTTTCCTCTTTCCTTACTCCCTTCATATGCAAACCAGGATCACTACTTTAAAAAATCCAATTAGAATATCCATTAAAAAGCCAATGTTTTCTAATAATTTTACTGGTAAAAAATAAAAACAATATTTTTTGTAAAATTCTGTTACCCATCTCAATGAACATTTATTAATTCACAGAACAGTTATGAAATCCAACCATATACAAGGAAATACACATCCCTTGCTTCAAAGACAGGTAAATATACAATTACAATACAATGTCATTTGTGGGGACAAAACTGCTATGGATCTCTTTGTAGGAGCTGTGGAATCAAGGACCATACACCAAGGGACCTAGGAAAAGTCTTGCCTACCCATGCATCGGGTAACAGGCACACTCACTACATGTCCAGCTGTGGACCCAGCAATAGCCCATAAACTGGTTCCAGCCCCTTCCTCTCAGCCACATCTGGAAGCCCCTGGAAAACACTGTCTTAGATAATCACCCATGGATGAGAGAGACTTTTTGGAAAACCAGATTTCCTGCAGAAAAGTTCCAGCACACCACCAGAGCAAAAAAAAAAAAATCAGGCTTGGACACATTGGAAAGGTAGTCGTTAAAGGCTATTTCAAAAGCAAAGACAGCAATGCCAAACTTCAAAGAATATAAAAAGTCAAGGATATATGACACCAAATCTTCCAGTAATTGATCTCAAACACATGGAGATCTGTAATTTATCCAAAAAAGAATTCAAAAGAGCAGTTTTAAGGAAACTTAATGAGCTACAAGAAAACACAAAAAGCCAATTCAGGGGTGCCTGGGTGGCTCAGTCAGTTAAGCATCTGACTCTTGATTTTCTCTCAGGTCATGAGATCCAGCTATGCATCCTGCTTACGCTCAGTGCAGAGTCTGCTTGTCTCTCTCCCTCTGCCATTCCCCCCACTCACACACATGTTCTCTCTAAAATAAATAAATAAAATCTTAAAAAAAAAAAAGCCAATTCAATAAAATGAGAAAAACACTATATGAATAAAACGAGAAATTTAGTAAAGCATTGGAAGGGCACCTGGGTCGCTCAGTCAGTTAAGTGTCTGCCTCTTGATTTCGGCTCAGGTCATGATCTCAGGGTCGTGGGATTGAGCTCCGGGTATGCTTGAGATTCTCTCACCCTCTCTCTGTCCCTCCCCTGACTTGCTCTCTATCTCTCTCTCTCTCAAATAAATAAATAAACATCTTTTTTTGAAAAAGAGCTGGAAATAGTAAAATAGAATTAAACAAAAATTCCGGAGCTGAATAATAGAGTGAATGAAATGCAAAAAGGCAATAGAAATCACTGACACTAAAATGGATAAAAAAAAAAGTCTGTGAATTTAAAATTTTCAAATTTTCAGACTTTCAAATTATCCAATCAAGGAGGTGAAAGATATGTACACTAAAAACTACAAGTCTTTGTTTAAAGAAAGAGCAGAGACACAAACAGGAAGATATCTCATTGTTTATGGATTTGAAAAATTAATATTATATATCCACATTATTCAAAGCCATCTACAGATTCAATGCAATCTCTGTCAAAATTCCAGTGACATTTCTCACAGAAATAGGAAAAACAATCCTTAAATTTGTATGGAACAAAAAAGACCCCAAACCGCCAAAGCAGTCCTGAGAAAGAACAACAAAGGTGGAAGCATCACACTTCCTGTTTTCAAACTGTTACCAAGCTATAGTCACCAAAACAGTATATGGAACTTGCATCAAACAAACACAAAGACTGGGTGATAGACACTGGGGAGGGTATGTGCTCTGGTAAGCGCTGTGAATTGTGCAAGACTGTTGAATCTCAGATCTGTACCTCTGAAACAAATAATGCAATATATGTTAAGAAAAAAAAAAAAAGAAGAAGAAGAGGGTAGCGGGAGGGGAAGAGTGAAGCGGGGGAAATCGGAGGGGTAGACGAACCATGAGAGACGGTGTACTCTGAAAAACAAACGGGGTTCTAGAGGGGAGGGGGGTGGGAGGATGGGTTAGCCTGGTGGTGGGTATTGAGGAGGGCACGTTCTGCATGGAGCACTGGGTGTTATGCACAAACAATGAATCATGGAACACTTCATCTAAAACTAATGATGTAATGTATGGGGATTAACATAAGAATAAAATAAATAAATAAATAAATAAATAAATAAACAAACAAACAAACAAACACAAAGACCAATGAAACAG